TCACTATGCTTCTGTTGGCCAGGTTTTGAAAGAAAGCACAAAATAAACTGGATAGCCGTGGAACATGATTCTGTCGGAGTATGAAAGTACCGTATGTGCCATCAGAACACCTCAGTGGTTGAATATGGTTTCTAAGCATTATCAAGCTAACGCACTCAGAACTGCCAACATTAAGATGCTACTAGACCTGTCTGGAGAACAAGGCTCCTTTGCAGCTGGGTTACCTCAAGGGTCAGACAAGCACTGAGCAGGGTTTTCATTATGACAGTTATGATCTAAGCACCGAAGTTCCATTTACTTCCTTCTTTGGACCTGTTCTAACTTTAAAAGAACCAGAATACTCTCCCTCTGAAGGTAATGCCATGAGATTCTTAACAGTTACTGTCCAGAAGCTGAGGTATGGTCAAATTGTTTTGGTACCAATAAAAGGCAAGCTTATGGCTGTAAACCTTCTTCCAGCTTAATCAGAGTATTTCCTGCTGTAGATGAGTCCTAATCTTACGCTACCAGAAGGGTCATGGTTTTCTTTTGAAGTTTCCAGTTCAGATTTCTAGGCTCATCAAGAGTTTTTCAGACTCCTGAAGAACAAGTTTGGTATCAATGCAGACTGCTCAGAGAAATCCTGAGAGTTTTAAAGCTTCCTGTACTCTATGCTATATTTTACTCCTTCATTTTCCCCTTCAGCTAGACTCTTCAGAGTTATGAAATCAATGCTTTTCCCTTTATTCTGATTCATATGTGGTTAACACTATAAATTCACAACACATAGAAATCAATTAACATATCAACTCCGAGTCAGCGCCATTTCAGTTAAGGAACTTGGCCCAGTTCAGTATCTCCAATAAATTTCCTTCACCAAACAAGCACAAACACACAGTTCAGCTCAAATCCCAAAGCAGACCACGTAAACAGATTGGCGCTGCTGCATTCCCTGGAGTTTAGAGAAATAAGGCTCTTTCATATCAGCAGTGACTTCCCAACATGACCACGGTTACTGGAGAACAGCCTGCCACTCTGACATTTAAATCTGAAATCTGATGTACTTAGGTCATAATATAACCACCTCCTCCTCCCTGGCTACTCCAGCTAAACCTCTCCCTTTTACTCATCTCATTAGTAACCAACTTTGTGTTTATAAAGCAATAGTAAACATAGTTATCTATTGTCAAGGCAGAAAATAATAAAAAAAAAAATCTCTAATACAGGGTCATAGTTTCATCCACTTATCTTAAAAAACAGATAGGGACGTTTGAAACTGCCATAATAATTACCCCATGGGTAAAACTGCCACTGAATTCAGTGGCACAAGGTGACTGCTATCCAAGCAGGGTGCAATCCAAGATTCCCTTTGTATAGCAAATGAAAGCAAACGTTCTGAAAACCTTGATCTGGCTGCTCTCGCACAGGCCTCCTCAAGTGTGCACGCAGAACCCAACCGATTTCGCTGCAATGCTTCGCTGCTATACAGCTCCTCCTGCTTTTCGCTGAAAGTAGGTGGCCACGACTGCTAAGTGACAAAGTCAGCTTCTACTCTTTCTCCAACTGTTTGGCATATTTTGAATTTTTGAGGATTAATTTCTTTAACAGTCAGTGCTGATTGACTGCTAACCATACAAAATACCTTGGCCAATGAGTACAAGTCTGTTTGCAATTTTGAGCGAAGTAACATTTAAAAGATTAGTCAGCTTAGTTTTAAAGGAAACCTGAAAGCAATATGCTTTCTTTTTTTCTTGGCCTAGGACATAGACATTGCCCAAATTTTGTTCATGACTGCAATGCATCTATTATGAGTATCTAAAGAGATAGTAAGTCTTGAATTCAATCAGTGTCCAACTGCTTGGCTACAATCTTCGATGCATTGTCTGCTCCTGAGCTATTAGTGAGAGATGTCTGTGGTACTTTTCTTTCACCCACCCGTGCTTAAGCACACACGCTTTGTACCTGCCACCTGAGAGCTCCCATCACGAGAAGTCCAGTCTGTCCTAGCAATATAATCTGCACGATGAAGTGAGTCATACTAGCTTGCTCAGGATCCATAAGAGACTCTTTCCTTTAGTCACCTACATGAAGAAGGGTCATTCAGTAACCAAAGCCTTTTAGCCTCCCCTTCACGGAGGAGCCAGTGCTTTCTTTTCCTCAAACTGATCATCATGGAAATCTAAGCTTTTCTTTCCCTGAAGAAACTCTTCCCTGAAATCTCTTTAGAAAATGAGTCCCCACTGGCTAACACAGCCAATGTTTGCAACCGTAAGTCACCTCACACCAGTCCACATTCCATGACTTCTCTAAGCTCACTTACATGCATGCTGAAGCTCTCCTCCCCTTCTTTCCCTGTGCTGGCAGTAGCAGTTATGTTCACAGATCTGGGAACTCATCTGGCCAAAGATGGGGCTTTTTTGTGAGGGGGAGGACAGGGGGCAGTTGTCAGATCGGTGCTCCAATCCAACTCACCAAGCACACACTATGGCCAGCCAAAGGACTTGAAAAACACTTGAAGACCGTAAACGCTTACCGCAGAATGAAGTTGGCATTGCCTATAGACTGCCCATCAATGACTTCTAGGTGCGTCTGCCATGGATCGTTTTTATGAATCTATATACTGAAGGGTTTCTAAATCAACCACGTGCCTCTTGGCAGGAGGATGAAGCCCTCTGCTTGACGAGAGATGGCTGCCGCCCCCTGCCCCAGGGTCCCACCTCATCCCTCCGACCCAAGATGGTGGGCTCCCTCCGAGATGGCGGGCTGCCGCCGTCCCAGGGAAAGGGCCGTGCGGCCACCGCCTGCCGCTTGGTTTTCCAGAAATTATTTTTTTGAATGCGGCATCTCTGTCAGCAAAGGGTCTTTCTGTCACTGAATGTTTTATGCCTTTTACCACAGCCCGGCAAAGAGGGAGGACCTATTCCTTATAATACAAACACATAATCCCAGAGAATGTGGTTTAAAACAAACAAAGAAATAAATAAATACAAATTCACCAGAGTTAGCTTGAGGATGCCAAGTCTTTGTCACTTCACTTCACAGAAAAATCCAGACGCCAAACCAGAACCTTCCAGCCAAGTTAAGAGATGGGTGAAAAAGAGATGAAACGGAAGGGAGGCGATGGCTGACTTGAAGCCTTCGTGCCCTCCCTGAAGGCGCAGCCAACGAGCGACCTTCCCCAGCCCACCCACTCCCCACCTCTCCCGGGATTTTCCCATTTTCTGTAGGACGCTACGTGCGGGTGCTGCCCACGGGCTATTTACCAGGGATGCCTCAGGGCTCCGCAGCCGAGGCCCCGTTAG